ATTGGGGTACTGAGGATACATTTTGTCAGCCTCAGTCTGGATGGAAGACAGATGGCTCACTTGACAAGGAGGCTTTAGAGGTTTATTTACAGAGAAGCTGTGGGTTTTGCTGTTGTAGAAGCATCAGGGATGTCTGTACACCAGGACTTCTTAGCAGCCAGGCTGTCAATCACTGCTAAGCCTGAAGAGTTAAGGGTGGACCGGAGTCCTCCTCAAACTTAGAGATAGTGACTGGGATCGGTGCCTGGGGAGCAAGATGACTTTCCTCGGGGCTCACGGCCAGTTTTCAGGGAAGGAGCCAGGGAAAAAGACGTCCCATCTTCATTCTCCGTTCTCTCTCTGGTCTCCTGACGGGATTCCCATTGTCTGAATTCAGCCAGAAGTCAGCAGGAACTGTCGAAAGTCTGGTCTAGGAAAGGCAGGAGTTGTGTGGAGGGCTGACAGAAGGCTCCGTCCTCACAGCCCTGTATGTCGTTCTTGTGTAGACTGCTCTAATGAATGCCTTCTTGGTAAACAGTTTGGTGTGTCTTCAGTTTTTTGCTAAGAGAAATGCTAACATAAAATTTCCAAAGTGTTGAGTTCAGCCCAGGGTCTCCTCCCTGCTCTGTTAATTAAACTTTGGAACACTGAAGCTGGCTGGGGAAAATGATTGGATAGAAAACATTGTTCTATTCATTTACTCCCCAGCCTACAAATGAGAAAACAAAAGGTACAATAAACTTTATTTTATGTACATCTTTATGTAAAGTCTTAACTCATTCAATAAATAAATACCTATTATTCCTTAGGTAGTGCTGGTGCTGGAAACATGACAATCCAGACCCTGCCCTGGGAAAGCTTGTGTTCTGTGGTAGAGATAAACATACCTAAATGAGTAACTGTAGTGCTATCAACCACTAGTCGACATCGTGGAGGAACTCAGCAGAGAGTTATGTTGTAGAGGAGTGGTTCTCAACCCCTGGGTCACAGCCCATTCACGGGGCCGCATGGCAGATAGCCTGCATATCAGATATTTACATTGTGATTCATAGCAGTATGGAAATTACAGCTATGAAGTAGCAATGAAATAATGTTATGGTTGAGGTCAGCACACCATGAGGAACTGTATTAAAGGGTCACAACCTTAGGGAGGTGGAGAACCACTGCTCTAGAGTAAAGGAAGTGCTAAAAAGAGACCTTTTGAGAGGACACACCTGGATTGAGATGGCAAGGGTGAGAAGGAGCCAGCTGCAGGAAGATTTGTAGCCAGAGCATTCTCAGCAGAGGACACAAAATGATTATAGGCCTGAGGATCCCAAAGACCTCAGAGGATTGGAGAAACAAGGGAGGTCAGCAGGGCTTGATAGTCAGAGTGAGTGTGAAAAGGGAGTCAGGTTGGAGATGTACAGAGGGTCAGAGCTGAAAATAAGGAAGTTGAATTTTATCTGAATTCGTGGTTTCTAAGACAACCAGGACTATGTAGAAAAGCCCTGTCTCAAATAAACAAAAACAAAAGTACCCCTTGGGTGCTCTTTAGAGACAGGTGTGGAAGAGAAAGCAAAGCAATAGGAGTATTTTGGTAATTCAGGCGTGTGAGAATGATGGACTTAGAGCAGAAGCAGTAATGTGGAGTACATTGTACAGTTGCTAGGGTATGAGTTTGAGGAATTAGAGAAAAGGACTCAAGGACCCACCTCCATCCTCCTAAGTGATGGGATCACAGGTTATGTCTTTGTTGTTAAGTGTGAGCAGCTGAGTGGATAAGCAGGTTGTTCACTGAAAGAATGAGGAGGATATTTACAGAGGGCAAGACAAGAGTTAGGTTTTTGCATGTTGACTTCTGGCAAAAGCACATTCTGGTAGAGCATGGAGCAGGAAGACAGACGTGTGATCTGAGGTTCAGAGGCAGTTGGGGCTGCAGGTAGAAATGGTCTGGGTGGGTCCTGTGAGACAGCAGCATTCAAAAGAAAGGGTGGGTCACTGGATTTGGCAGCTTGGAGCTCTGTATTAACTTGATGAGCAGTTGGAGGGGAGAGGTGAGCCCAGAAGCCAGGCTGGAGTGGGTTTGTTTTATAATAAATGTGTCCACTTCCTATTTTCAAAGTAACAAATAAGTACAAGAAATAAAATTACAGCATCTCCACTCCTCATCTCCAGTGCTGGCCAGTTCTTTGAACACTTTTACAGATGTCCAAACGTGACCTCCAATACTAAATTCTTGATTTCTTCCCCTCACATTTGCTGCTCATTTCTCGATCTTCTTCCGCCCGCCTCCCCCTCCCTTGGTCCCTCCCAGTTGCACTCAGGGCCTATTGCTTGCTCAGGTGCTGGTTGGCCTTGTCTCCCAGCCTGTCTCTCGCTGCATTGGATGTGCTGATCTGTCTCCACAGAACACCCAGGGACCTCCTGCAAAACATTTTAATTGCTGATCCCCTGCCTGGAACATTGCCCACCTAGCCATGTGGTTTTTCCCTCACTCAGTGCAAGCCCCCGTTCACATGTCACTGGCAAGGAAGCCCTCATAGGTATGAGGCAGAAGTGGAAGTGGTCCAGTGGACTTGACTTTATGGAGATTTATGTGCAGAGGAAATTCAGTGTATTTCACAGTATGGAAAGGGCTTGTGTTCAGGGAAAACCTCCAGTGACAAGATTATAACCCCAGTGGGAAAATCTCAGCTAAGGAAATAGAATTATAGTTGAAAGCTTTCTCAGCCGCGAGTAAGATTTATATCATTCCTAATGAAAATAGTGAATGTGAATTAATTTCTTAAAGTGGCTCTACAGCTTTTGAAGGGATGGGAGAAGCAGAGGGTCCTCATGGAGCTATATCACCCTATATGCATGAAGCACAGTTCCAGCACTTGTGACAAAAACATTGTTCGTCTAGATCCAGCTGCCAACGTGTAGCAGTGTATAGGGTAGAAGACCAAGTTAATATTGCTGCAGAGAGCAGGCTAGCCAGGTCTGCACTGCCATTAGTGCCAGACAGTCTGCTTTGTTCAGCATATGGATCGCAAAGGATTGGGAGGTGGGGAAGTGCTAGGACAGCGAGGCTGGGGTTGGGGCTGTGTCAACAATGGTTTCTCCCAAGAGCAGAAACTTCTTAAGATTTACTCTGGAGAGCGTGTGGAGCAAGATTAGTGCAAGGGCTTGTGGGAAGGCTGTAATGGAAGATAGATCTAAGCTGGATGATAAGGGAAAAGGAACCCAAGAGTTGCTTGATAAATAGAAGGGGGAAATAGCAGGATTAGTAGGTCGAAACAGTTGGTAAAATGATAATATCATTGCAAGGGGTCATTAAAGTAATGGAGATAAAAAACGGCTATGCTTGAAATTCAGGTTAATGTTTTTAATATTTAGCAGCATTTTAAAAAGCAAAGCATTTTATAGTTTTGAAATAAAACTAATCAGTAGCATCTTAGAACAGAAGTCAAAATAATCACTTAAATGAAGTCATTTTAATGTATTCAAATTGTGGTTCTTGTCTCTTTTTTCTTTAAATTATAAGGTATTATGACTCTGTCACCTTTTGATCAAATGAAGACTGCTTCTAATATTGGTGGATTTAATGCAGCCATTAAAAACAGTCCGCCTGCTATGTCTCAGTATATCACTGTGGGGTCCAGTCCGTTCACTGGCTTCTTCTATGCTCTAGAGGTATGAGTTTCACCACGAGGAGAGCCACTCTTGATTTTTAACTTGCCTAAAAGTTAGATATAGTAACATAGAAAGATTAAGTTTAAAATTCTAAGTTTTACCTGAAGCTAAAATTAATCACAAGTTTCTTCTAAATTTTTTTTATAATTAAAGAAATTATTGTGTATAGATAGTTGTGTCTGTGTGATGTGTGTGTGAGAGTAAGAGGACAACTCTTGGACATTTGCTTTTCCTTCTACCTTGTAGCTGGCTGAGATGAACTTCCAGTCCCCCCACCCATCTCCCCGGGAGAGCCGGGCTTACAGATGCGCACTACCGCATCTGGCATTTCTGTGTGAGTTCTGGTGATTGAACTCAGGCCATCAGGCTTATGCTGCATGTACTGTTACCCACTGTGCCATGTGAGCAGTCCATGTTTCTTCTAAATTATTTAGATTACCTGAAAAGCTCTTAAAATCACAGCAAAGCATTGGGGGTGCATTTGAGTTGGTACACCACTTGCTTAGCATGCCTGAAGCCCGAGTTGGATCTCCAGCAACGTATAAGACCTATAATTCTAGCATTGAGAGAGATGGAGGCAGAAAGGTCAGAAATTCAAGGTCATCTGTACTACGTAGCAAG